GGGAAATATTTTGGTTTCCTTGGGCTATCATATGTTGGTATGAAAGGAAGGCCCACTAGCCATCTCCTTCTGTGGTTTTTTGGCCTTTGTGGATTGGGAGGCCAGGTCCTACTCCCTTTTCTCAGTGGCAATGCTCTGTAAAGGCCCTGCATCAGTCACGCCTTAGTGTGTAGGGTGTAGGACTACAAGTGGCTGAGGGAAGTCATGAAGTTGGCTGTGAGTGACCAGACTTAGTCATCCTGCCAGGGGAATTACATCTTTTATGGTTTGGAAAACCCTGGCTTCGACTTATTAAACTTATTGAGAAATCAAGTCAAGCTACAGGCTTCAAATGATTGGTATCTTCGTGCTCAGTTTCCCCTTAAACATCAGGTAGTCATAGGGTAAGCAATAAAGCAAACATTTTAAAAGTTATCTCTAAAGTCATTAAACATAAATGAAGCAGGTCCTATGCTTGGGGTTATTCAGGCTTGTAGGCTCATGACTTAGGACTTGGGTGAAGAAGACAGAAGGCCTTAGCACGCTCACTGATTTGTGAGATTAGACAGACAATTTGGCAAAGTTCACCCCTGGACTTCCTGAACCTATTCTGAGTCCCAGCTCCTGGCTCTCTAGCCTGGCTTTCTCTGTGTGCAAGTTGGTGTTCGCCATGGGTCATTTTTCTACTTCTGGTTCCTCAGAGGTGAGCGAGGCCAACATGGGTCCTAAGCATACACGAGTTATAAGCAGTTCACTCTGTGGCAGGCTTCTTCCTTGCGCTCACTCCAGGGAGGCTCTGGGGACAGGGACAAATGTTCCCTTCTTTGTAGGCACCAGCCTTGGCTAAGCATGGGTTTGGCTTTGAAATTTCCTCTCCTCTTCCATCTTCTACAAATCACTTTGGATTAACATCTGTGAAAAATCAGAGATATTTTAGGTGACCAGAATTTTAAACCTGGTTGGTTTGTTTTCCTCTGTATAAAATGACTAGGTCATGATTTTCATGGGGGATTCTTTGGTTGCAAGTAAGAGAATGTACTTCTGGATAAATGGAGTAAGAAGGAAATCCATCAGTCAAAAGTGCTGAGCCATAATAGTGTGACCGATTACCCTGGCTTCAGGAGGCTGGGGCAGGAGGATCACTGTCCTAGGTCAGCTGGAGGTCAGCTGACAAGGTTAGCACAGAAGGCCCTATGTGAAAAACACATCAAAAGTGAAAAGATTGGGTATGTGGCTCAAGCATGAGATCCTGAGTTAACCCCCAGTGTCTGCAGTGTGTATGTGGGATCCAAATCAAGTCACAGGAGCGTCTGCATAATCTTGACACACTGCATCACCAGAGGTGGGGGTCTTTACCAGGTCATGCCTCTTTCTGGTGCTGCACTCAGGGTTTTAGAGGCCAGAGGAATTGGTTCTGTTGGGGTCCTTCGGCACCTGGACTAGTGGTCTGGCACTGCAGGAGAAGAAAGGGAATCAAGGCTATCACAGGAAGAGGACTGGAAGCCAGACAACCAAAACTCTCTAACTTCATATTGCATGCATGTTTGAACAGGACCATCTCAGTCTGATTCATCACATATTACTTGTGGACTGGAAGGACATATAATTGTTGTTCTTTGTCATAATTATGTAGATTTGGCTTTTGCTAGAGGTATTCATTGTTTCACTCCACCAACATTCATTAATCCCCTTTAGGAGGTCTGACACAGAGTAGCACCTGCTATGAGACAGCTTGGGTTCACATTCTGGCTCTTCTGCCTATCTGTATCCTGTGTCCCATCTGTAATATAGGGCAATAATACTGTATTGGTATTATGGACTTGTTGAAAGAATTAAAAGTAAAATGAAATCATGTGAGTTAAACCCTTAAAAAAGAAACTGTGCAAATGTCAAATCTAAGTGATTATCGTGCATAGCTTGGTGCTACAAAGACTCATTCTTCTTTTTTTTGGCAGTAGTGGGACTTGAACTTACGGCTTCACAGTTGTTAGGCAGGTGCTCTACTATTTGAACCACATCCCAAGCCCTTTTTGCTTTTGTTATTTTTGATACAGGGTCTTAAATTTTTGCTCTGGCTGACCCAGACTGTGATCCTTCTGTTTCTGCTTCCTGTGGGATGACAGATGTGCACCATCACACCTAGCTTTTTTGTTGAGATGGGGTCTTGCTAACTTTTTCCCCAGCTAGCTTTGAACTGGGATCCTCCTGATCTCTGCCTCCCAAGTATCTGGGATTACAGGCATGAGCCATCTTGTCCGACCAAGACTCAGTCATTCTTATGAATCTATATGCATGCATTAGTTATTATTTTCTCATCTATTCTTATTTTAAAATCTAGAAATAATTTAAGAGTTATAAAGAGAAATAATATACAAGTTTCTGCCTTCAGCTTGCTTGCTATCTACTGAGGCTACATGGTAATTCTTTTATAGCCTAATGATGTCACTCAGCAGTTTATCACTGAAGGCCAAAGACTAGGATAGAGAGCAAACTCCAGAAATGGGTGAGAAAAATCCCCATGTGCTGTGTGGTCAGGAACGGCCTTGGGAGGAAGTGGTGGGAAGACCAGCTGCCTGATGCCTTCTGAACCTCTCTTAATTTCAAACTCTTAGATTATCTCTGTCCAATATAAACATTACACTAACCACATATGTAACTTAAGTTTTTCTACTATCCACATTTTTTAAGGAAAAAGAACAAGCAAAATTAATTTTAATAATATATTCTTATTTTGCCCATTATACATAAAATGACATCATTTCTATATGTAATCAATATTAGAAAGGTAAGATATTTTACATTTCTGCTTTTGGTATCATTTTTTAGAATCTGGTCTATTTTACACATATAATGCATCTCAATTCCAATTAGCCATAGTTCAAGTGCTTGCTAGTCACAAGTGAGCAGTGGCTACCGTGTCAAACTGAAAAGTCTTCATTGGTATAGGAAGGAAGGAATAGATATGGGAATTTTTTTTTATCTACTCTGTACCAGGCAGGCCCAGGACTTGCTTAAGGCATTTGATGAACAAAAGATCAAATTCTGTTTCTTCAAAGAAATTTGCATTTTTCTCATCATGAATTTTTTGGCCTTAATTTTGATTTAAAAATGTACTGCATAGCTAGTTGTGGTGGGGTACCCTATAATCACAGCATTCTGGGGGCAGAGGCAGGAGGATTGTGAGTTTGAGGCCAGCATGGACTACTTAGTAAATTCAAGATCAGTCTGGGTAGTACAGTGAGACCCTGTCTCAAGAGACAAAAGAACAAACCCAAAATAAATATTGCATGAAAATATTATTCATCTTGATGCAAGCACTTTTTGTACATATACTTTCTTTTTAATTGAGTAATTTAGAGGGTACAGTGTGACATTTAAATACATGAATACAATCCAGTATTCAGATTAGAGTAATTGGCACATCTATCCCCTCAGACACTTATTATTTCTTTGTTTTGGAAGCACTGAAAATCCTCTCTACCAGCTATTTTGAAATACAGTAAGTCTGCCTTATTTGTGGCTTCATTTCACTCAGGTTTAATCAAGCACAGTCAAAACAAAATAATAAAAAAAGTAAAAAATTTCAAAAACCAAATTTTTAATTCCCACATGTGGGCTCCACAGCTCAGTTGATGTAGAGAAGCTGTCAGTCACACATTGTCATCAGATGTGTTTAAATCCTTATGTGACCTGATGTGTTTCCCTGTCTTTCATTTTGTGAAAAACTGCCTTCCCCAAATCAAATGGTGTCCAAAAAGCGAGGTAAAAGGAAATGTGCTTAATTTAAGAGATAAAGTGAAAATGTGACATTTGTTGAAAGGCAGCATGTCTTTAGTGGAAGTTGGATGGCATTATGGGAAAAATGCCTCAAGGATCCACAGTGCAGCACTGAATTCTGCACCTTGAGCATGTGTGGGTTTTACTCGGTGGTGGTCTCCTTGGAACAGAGACCCACTGACATCAAGGGTCTGCTGTACTCAAACATTGGTGCTGACCACAGTTGTCCTAACCTACTATATACCAAGTTCTTTCTAAGAGATGCCCTAGTGCCTCATGTGGGGAAACTACTTCAACCAAACTGAATTGTGGAACAGAAACAGGGATGCATTCTTCTAACTTACTAAGCCTTGTGCCTCAATTATTTATGTATTTCTTTATATTTTTTATTTTTACAGTGCTGAGGATCAAACCCAGGGTTTTGCAGTCTAGGCAACTGCTCTACCACTGAGCCACACCCCTAGTCCCTTGGGCCTCAATTTTTCATGTGAATTTTCAATTAAATTCAGGTTACAACTAAACACAAGAATTAAACAAGTTGAAATTCAAACTGAATGTATGAACTGAACTGAAACTTTTAAAAATATTTCAGGACCAAATTGTAACCCAAGAGAGAATTCATTGGCTTTGATTCTCTGGTCAAAGTGCCCCTTGACTGCTGTATTTCCCAATTGTGGAAAAAAAGAATGAAAACAAGTTTTTTGAGAAGATTCCTAGGATTCATTTCCTTCTCACATTTTTAGCTTTAATGTGCAGGGTAGTGGGGTTTGGCAGCACTGGGGTTTGAACTCAGGTCCTTGCAAACTCTCTACCACTTGATCCCCACCTCTAGCACTTAATTTGCAGTTTTTAAGGGTTTAGTATCTTCAGTCTCTTGAAATAATGATATATTGGGATATTGGGAATGTCTTTTGTTGTTGTTTTTTGGCAGCACTGGGGTTTGAACTCAAGACCTCATGCTTGCTAGGCAGGAGCTCTTACTGTTTGAGCCACTCCACCAGCCCTTTTTTGTATTGGGTATTTTTGAGATAGGGTCTGTTTGCTCAGGGCTGACTTCGAACCTCAATCCTCCTGATCTCTACCTCTGAGTAGCTAGGTAGCGAGGGTCACAGGCACAAGCCACTGGCGCCTGGCTTATATTGGGAATGATATATTGAAAACTATAACTTTGATACTGACAAAAAGAGACAGTCTTGCTTATTAAAGTGGTATCCATTTTTTTGAACACAATCTTTTTCTTTTAGGGAACTCAGGAACAAGGCAAATGTTCAATTTGGAGATAATGGAACAACAATATCTGCTGTTAGCAATAAGGCATATGTTTTTGAACGAAACCAATCTGTTGGAGACCCCAAAATTGACTTAATTAGAACACTAAATATTCCTGTATTGGTAAGTAGGCATTTTACTATTATTATTGTGGATTTTAAAAGGGGAAAAGATAAGGCTATTATGATTTTGCATAATTTAGGAGCTAGTTATGTAGTTGTGTTAAAATATACATGCATAAATTCACACACACACACACACACACACACACACACACAAGGCTGGGGTGTGGCTCAATGAAAGAGCACTAGCCTAGCATGCTTGAATCTCTGAATTTAATCCAGCACTACTATATATATTTTTTTCAAAGAAAAATATATTTATTTTCCCCTTCCTTTCTTTAAAGTAAATCTTAGACTTTTTTTCCTATACTCTATCAAATAAGGCCATTTTGGATGATAATAAAATACAAATTTTAGGATTTGTTTTCATGATTTTTTCTTGAGTGTACTTATGTAGATAAGTAATAAATTTTTGTTAGCTAGAAATTTAAAAAAATGTTCACCCCTTTGTTTTGACTCAGAAATTCTAGCAATAGAATTTGCATACCACTTCTTGGATCAGATTTCTATTTTGTCTATAGTTACACCACCATGAATGCCCCCAATCTTGTCCAACCTATCTTGTATTTTAAGTTCTCAAGGTACATGAATTGCCTATTTCCTCCCTTTTCACATGGCAGAGACTGGGCTGTGATTCCCTAGGCTCTGTTTATAAGGCAGTAACACCTGTACCACACCCATGCTCTATTGAGACCCAGAAAACTTCCTTATTCACCTACACCACCTCTTCTGAGGCTCCCACACTCACTGCTAAGTGAATCCTCCATATGCCACTAGACACTGATGGTGGACTGGAGTACAGATCCCAGATCCTGTCCCTCCAGGCTCTGCTGTCTACTGGTACAGTTTATCACCAGGTTCCAGGCACCAGATTGGCTCAAGGGGAAGGTGGCGCCACCTTGTGTCTAAAGACTCTGAAGTATTTACAAGAGCTTTTCTCCTGTGGCAGGGATAACTTGGAGCCTGCAAGTGGGAATGCTGAGCTCACACTTAAAACCTGTAATATGAAAAAGGGCAATACCTGAAGAGTCTTGTTCCTCCACATGCAGCTGGAGGAGCTCACTGGCCGGTTTTCCAATTATTTAATCTCAACATTTACATCTTGGTTTCTGGCCCCCTTTGTTGAGAGGTAGTAAGAGAGAGTAGGGTGGGGGTGACTTGGCAATAGAGGACACTCCTGTCTTAACTTGCCTCTCCTCCTCAGACTGTCATAGAATGGGCCCAGGCCCGCTTCCTCAGGGTGCTCATTGAGGCCATGCTGAAAGCCTATCAGCAGAAGCTCTTTGTGACTCACACGGTTGACGAACTGCTCTGGGGCTACAAAGATGAGATCTTGTCTCTCATCCATACTTTCAGATCTGATATCTCTCCCAATTTTGGCCTGTTCTATCAGGTAAGTTGAATTTTCTTTCAAACCATCTCTAACAGCTGACAGTGGGGAGGGGGCATCCCAAGCCAGATTCCATCTTAACACCGGACTTCCTCTAGGAGAAGACCAAAATTGCCCAAAGTTCTATATGCCTTGTAGAATGTGTGAAAAAAAATAAGAAAATGGTTTTGGTAAAAGGCAAAAGATTTATACGATCTGAAAAGAAGCCAGAACAGGAAAGTGGTTTTGTAATCAACAACAACAAAAGAACCTTGAGTAAAATGCACAGTTGGGAAGTTAGTAATAGACAAAATTAACCCCTCAGGAAGAAAGTGTTAGATTTAGGGCTCCAAGACTGAAAGGTGCTTCCTCATCATTAAATTTGTAGCTATTTTTGGGCTCTGCTTGTCCAAGGAATTTATTCTCACCAAGGAACTTATTTTCAATGTGCAATCCCTTGACATCTCACCTTGTCTGTGGCAAAGGGCAATCATCCTCCACCTGAGCCTCAAGGGTATACAAAATTTAGAAGCTGTTCTAACAAAGCAAGCAGGTTTTAAGTGTTATCTCTGTAACAGTGAGTGGGAGGTCCTAAAAGTAGAGTCTCACCAACTCTAAATTCTTTACTCTGGGGCAGCAGTCCTGATAATGTGTTCCCTGAAAGGTCCTGTCCCATAAGAACACAGCTTCCACAGGACCAGAAGCACAGCTCTCTTGGTAAGCTGACACTAGACTCCCCTTCAAGAAATAATGAGAGAATCCTACACAGCTTCCCTCAAGGCCTTCTTGGTGCTAGTAGCTTCAGTCTATTTGTCACGTATATCCTCTTCATATCATCTCAGAATTTCTTAGATACAATTTTATATACAGCTTGCTTTTTTGTTTTTGTGTCATTGAGCTCAGTAGACTTGTAACCATCCTATCTCATGTGGTTATGAGGATTTCATGATAATTCATGCAAAATTTTAGAACCAATGCCAGGAATACTATAAATGCTCAATAATGGTGTGCTCTTATTAATTTTTTATAAAGGAGCTAGTACTTATGCAATTTCCCAGAAATCATGGCTCAGGCAGGATTTCTATGTTGCAGTCTTGTGGAGACTTCTTCTGGAAACCGGTTTTTGCTCTTACAGGCTTTGAATGGATGTGATGTGATGCATCCCTCACATTCTTGAGGACACTCTTCTTTACTTAAAGTTAACTGATGTGGGTTTTGATGACTTCTGCAAAGTACCTTTTCAGCAACATCTAGACTGGTATTTGAGTAGGCAAGTGGGCACCCTAACCTAGACAAGGTGACATAAAATTAACCACTGTAGTCACTGTAAACTTTCATACTTACTTTCAGAAAAATGGAACTAATGATGGAGACTATGTTTTTCTAACTGGAGAAGACAATTACCTTAACTTCACAAAAATTGTGGAGTGGAATGGGAAAACGTAAGTCAAACAATTTATTAGCATAATTTTTCATTGATCATTTAAATTGAATATGCATTGTTTAAAAAATGTTTTTTGGCAGTATTGGAATTTGGACTCAGGGGTTTGTGCTTGCTAGGCAGGCACTCTTCTGCTCGAGCTGTAACTCCAGCCCTTTTTGCTCTGGTTATTTTGGAGATAGGGTCTTGCTTTTTTGCCTAGGCTGGCCTGGACTGCGAGCCTCCTATTTTATGCTTCCTATCATAGCTGGGATGACAGGCATATGCCGCCATAGCTTTTTTTTCTGTTGTGATGGGGTCTTGAGAACTTTTTTTTTTTTACCTGAGCTGGCCTAGAACTTGTGATCCTCTTGATCTCAGTCTCTCAAGTAGGCTCCATTACAGGTGTGAGCCACTGGTGCCTGGCTTATTGTTTAAATTCTTTTTAGGGCTGGGGATATAAAGCACTTTCTGAGCATGTACAAGACCCTGGGTTTGATCTGCAGCACTGCAAAAAAAGTAGCAAATGTACAGAATGTATAAATATGTAAGGAGTCTTCAACTTATTACTTTACAAATTAAGTTGGGATATTATACTTTGGGAATTAAATATTAATAAATATTAATGATTTGCAGACTTATGGCCAGCTCTCACTGTTCCTTAGTAGTCACACAATGATGTACAGCCACAGCAGAAAGACTTTCAAACAAGTACTTGTTTGCAGAGAGGGAAAATTCTGGTTCTTTTTATTTCAATTTCATGGTTGTGGATTGTTGAAGAGTTTTTCCTCTAAAATTCAGAATTATAGCATTTCAGAAATATTTTTATTTAATACTTACAGTTTATCAACAAACTACTTCCAGGGCTGGTGGAGTGGCTCAAGTGGTAGGGCACCTACCTGCTTAGTAAGCATGGGTCCCTGAGTTCAAACCCCCAGTACCACCTAAGTAATATAAATACCTCCAAAAAGGAGCAGAGGCAGTTTCCAATAAAGCTACATAGAAAACAAAATGATCTTTTTTTTTTAAGTCAGAAAAACGATAAAACTTTGAGGCAACAGGAGGCTAATTATTAACTGCCTAAAATAAGAGGAGTTTTGTTCTTCAACATTAAATTTACTTCTGAACTTCCCTGCAATCCAGGCAAGAGGAATAAACAATGAGCTTTGTGGGGTTTATTGGATGTATCACTTCAAAAGAAGTAGACTGCATTCTGGCTTCAAATTCTGGGAGAAATTCATCATGTGTATCTTTTGTGAAAGAAACTGTGACAAAAAAAACTTCAACATTTTTATGTGTAATATAAATATATTTTTCACATGATCACTTCTAGTATTCCTAATTCACAAATAATTTGACAGAAAGCTTAACTAATATCTGTGAAGTGCATTTCTTTCTCTTCCAAAGGTAGATTCTAGGAAACCCAGGGAATTAATGGTTAACTTGTTCCATCAGTACTTACATATAAGTCATTTGGCTGGTTTAAAAAGCAAAACAAAATACAGCTTCCTCTCCAAGAATTATTAAGACAAAAGGCAAGATGTTGAACAGTATCCCTAATGTGCTAGTTCATCTAAGAAATATAAATTTAAAAAGCATGTCCAAGCATCTGCCTGTCAATAAATATACCAAGAATGGAATGAGGAAGGAGGGAATTTACTGCACAGTAGAGAAACCTGCCAGACACCGCCTCAGCCCAAGAGCAAGGCTAACAGGAAGGCTAACATCAGCAGTGATGAACCACATGGATACTGTAATGATAAGGAGTTAAAAATGACACTTTACTTCACTGGGAATCAACACTAGGATATCGAGCATGCTAGGCAACTGCTCTACTAACTGAGCTACATCCCCAGCCCAAGAGTTGTTTATTAAAAAGCACAAATACACATACACATCAACATACATTTACATACACACTGTTAGTCAGCTTTCAGTAGTTGTGACAAAATAACTGAGAAATCAACTTTAAATAGTTAAGGTTTAATTTTGGCTCTCAATTTTAGGTTTCAGTCCAATGTCAGCTAGCTCCATTGCTGTGGGTCTGAGGTGAGGCAGAGTATCATGGAGGTGGAGCACGTGGTAAGGAGGCTACTCACCTCATGGCTGCCAGTAAAGAAGGAAAGAGAAGACGGAGCCAGAGACAAAATATAACCATCAAAGGCACACCCCCAGTGACCTACTTCCTTCAACTTGGCCTCACCTCCTAAAGTTTTAATCACTTCCCAATAACCATTCAAAATATGAACCTACCAAACGTTTGATCCATGATGAAATCAGAGCCCTCACAATCCAATTGTTTCCCAAAAGCTCCACTTCTGAACATTGCTGCACTGGGGACACACGAGCCTTTGGGGAACATTCCAAATGGAAACCATAGCACACACATTACCTCCCTCCACCAGCCCCTCCCCAACCAAGTACCTGATTCCTGGAAGGATTTATAGAAGAAACAGGCACACTGTTGCCTCTGGAGGCTACTAAGTGACTGGGTTCTGGGCTAGGGGAAACATATTTTATACCAATCTTGTTTCCCAGTCTTTTAACAGTAGAATTTAATCCTCTCACATACGTATTGTAATTATGGGTACATTTGTGATATGTTATTTGCTTATTTGGACTTATTGTATATTCTTTTCAATGCTTAGATTTTTGTGTACTGGGGATTGAACCTAGGGTCTTGTGCATGCTAGGCAAGCACTCAACCACTGAGCTATTCCACCATCTCTCTACATCAAGATTTTTATGATTTACATTTAACAATAACTTTTCCCAGAAAAATGTAAAGCTATTTATTCTCTCTTCTCCTTCCAAACAAGACAATAATCTTACTGATTTCTTAACACCCACAATGCACATTTTCTTTTGTTATTCTTGTCTACAACTTTTCTTTCTTTTCCTTCCTTCTTTCTTTTGTCTTTTTTTTTTTTTTGCAGTACTGAAATTTCAACTCAGGACTCTACTGCTTGCCTCCAGCCCTTTTTCCTTTAAGTACTTTTTTTTAGATAGGGCCTCATGTTTTTTCCCAGGCCAGTCTCAGACAGTGATCCTTCTGCCTATGCCTCCCATGGAGCTAGGAATACAGGCATGAGCCACACACCAGGCTTGTTTCACTTTCTTAAGTAAATATAAACTTTTTTTTTTCTTCTTTTGCTGTGCTAAGGATGGAACCCAGGACCTCACACATACTAGGCAAGCAATGTACCATTCAGTTGCACTCCCAGCAAATCATCATTACTGTCATCATTATCATCATCATTTGAGATAAGGTTTTGCTTTGTAGTCCAGGCTGAACTAAAACTCACGATCTTCCTACCTCAGCCTTCTGAGTGTTGGGATAACAAGCATATGTCACTATTCCCAGTCATCAAAATCATTTTTATAGTAAATACTCAACTAAATTTGCCAACGTATTTTATTAATGTATAATTTTTTTCTTCTCAAGTCTTACTCATAGGTTTATTTTTTTTTCTTCCTAAACATGATCCATTAGTTTAGCAATTTTCAACCAAGGGCCATTCATCTGTATCTGGACATAATTTTGAGGAGCACTACTGGCATCCACTGAGTACAGGTGTGGGGTGCTGCAAAACATCCTATCTTCAGAGGACAGCCATACCACAGACTTCTCAAGCCCAGTGTTAGTAGACTGAGAAATCCAGCATTATAAACTTTTTCACTAAGGACCTGTGGGGTGGCACACTCTCTGAGACTTCACATATTTTTAAAACACTGATGAACTTCAAGTGCCATCTTAAACAGAAATTTAGAGAATTACTATTTATTGCCTGTCCTTTAATTTCTTTTGTTTTTTGTACTAGTTTAGTTTTAACTGCTATAACAAATTATCATAAACTGCATGACTTATAAAAAATAAAAATTCATTTTTCTGTTCTGTATGCCAGAAAGTTCAAGGCCAAGGCCCTGACAGATTTGGTAGCGGAAAGGGTTTGGTTCCCCACAGGTGGTCATCTTCTCACTTTGACTTTACATGGAGGAAGGCCAAGTTAGTCAACGACATCTCTTTAATAAGGATACTAATCTCACTCATCATGGCTCTGCTGTCATGACCTTATACCTTCGAAAGGCCCCAGGACCTATTACCATCACTTTGGGAGGTTAAGATTTCAACATATGGGTCTGGAGGGGACATAAACATTTAGTCTATTACATGGACCATTATTTTTAAAACTACTTAAAATAAAACATGTTATCTCCAATATGCTTTTAGTGAGCATGACATCAATTCTATATTGATTTTTCCTTGTGATCCTTGGGAAGTCTTCTGTTATTTTTGGAAGAGAGACCTGTTAGTGTAGGCTGAGTTAGTGGTCTGTCATAAATATTAAAGAGCTGGATGTGTCTATCAGAGTCCATCTGCCCCTGGCCTGTGTTATTAATGCTCAGCTGGGTTATGCTTTAAGTAAATCAGTATTTCTAAACCTCTATGTAGGATACACTTTTTGAAGGGAGGAATTTTGTAGGATACACTTTTTGGGGCTATTACCATTATCAAAATTGGTTTGGGGTCAGGGCTTAGTTTTTCTCCTCTTACTCTAATCCTTAACACTCTTGTGTCTTTCTATGAATAAGATACTGTGGGTAGCCAGCTCCAGTTACGTCTGGAAAAGCCCTGATCATCTAAAACAGTCTAAAATCCCATCTAAAATCTAAGCCCTTTCTTGTGCTTATCAATTGCAGGTCACTTGACTGGTGGACAACGGATCAGTGCAATATGATTAATGGAACAGATGGAGATTCTTTTCACCCATTAATAGCTAAAGATGAAGTCCTTTATGTCTTCCCATCTGACTTCTGCAGGTAAAAGCTTTAATAAGTTCATTTTAAAAAATAGTGTTTGATTATAAGGCTACCCAAAATGTAAAGGGTATATGCAAATACATTTATTATGTATGGATGTTTATGCATAATAGTGATAAATGCTGAGGGTACATTAAGAGAAAGTATAGTGTAGTGGGTCACAGTGCAAACTCCAGAACCTAGCTGTGTTGATTTGAATCTTATCTCTACCATGCACAGTTGTGTTACCCTGAACAAGTCATTTAACCACTCTGTGTCTCATTTCCTCATTTGTAAAATAAGGAAATAGTAACCTACCTTGGGGGTTCTTAGAAGAACATGTAAGTTACTGTTAGTGAGATGCTTAGCCCAAGGCCTGTCATACAGTATATAGTTGCACATGTCGGCTCTTAGTTATGATGTTCTGTCAAGTATGAAATATGACTTGGTCTTCTTCCAGTTAACAGGCCACCTGTACACAGGAGATAAGTAAATGATACTGCCATCCACATTTCATAGTTTATGGGTATTTGCTTGGCTGTCACCTCCCTATTGATTATGTCTACTCTCTCCAGCTCTGTGATCTCACCCTGCCTCCATGATCTCACCCTGCCTCCTGCCTTCCCCTACTCTACAAAGGAACATGCTAAGTCTCCTCTGTGGGAAGAAGGCGTCCTTCTCTCCACCCAGAATCCCCTCTCCCTTCAGACTGTCACTCCTTTCCCTGCTTTCACTCTCAAAGCCCCTCCCCCCTCTCCACCCCGGGCTTCCTGTGCAACTTCTCACTGTGGAAGGGACCTGGCAACCCTCAACACCGTTGATGGTTATGCCCACACTTCTGCACACTGCTGTTCTGATGGTTTCCTGTCTCGAATAACTGCACCACCTACCTGGTCAGTGGTGCCAGAAACCCTGGTGACAGTGGAAAGCTCCCTCCCCTCTACATTCACTCAGTCCTGCCACAGCTATGAATTCTTCCTCAGAAACAGCACTGGGATTTGTCTTCTCTCTCCATTCCCCCTGCTTCCTGTGCCATGGCTTAGATCCTTTTAGACTCTTCCCACCTTTACTGTAGAATATCTCCCTTGCCTTCCAGCAAACTGCTCTGCTTTCCTCAGTAAATATCTGTGGAAGGACTGAAGGAGGGTCAGATGTATCCAATAGGGAACCTAGAAGGCCACAGGAAATTTATAAAAGATTTGGCTTAGAGGAAACACATTCTTATCTGGTATAACAACTTTGGAGAGCCATCTGGTAAAGTTTAGTAAAGCCAAAGTGAAATAGGCTCATGATTCTGCAGTTCTCTCATACGTAGGTTCCTGGCTGGGAACTCTTGTGTATATGTTCAAGGAGACACAGACAAAATGTTCATTACATTGTGATAGTGAAAAGTTGGAAGCCATATATGCTTATAAAAAGGGAGAGTAGCTGGCTATGGTACCATTTATCTACAATCTGTAATCCTTGTACTCAAAAGACTGAGGCCAGCCTAGACTACATAGTGAGACCTGGTCTCCAAAAAAGAGACAGACAGAGAGAGAGAAAGAAAAGGGGAAGAATATAGCAGAACATGGTGGTGCACATCTGTTCATCCCAGCACCAGTAGGCTAAGGCAGGAGGATGGAGAGTTCAAGGTCAGCCTAGGGTACACAGATAGTCCTTATTTCAAAAAAAGAGAAGTCTATAAATAAATGGGATGGAACATCATACAGGATTTTAAAAAGAGCCAAATCTATGTATATTAATGTAATAAAACTTATAATGAATGAAAAACCAAATTACAGAAAAAGACTGGCATACTATTTATATTTTTTTCCAGGGCTGGTGATTGAACCCAGGGCTTCACATGAGCTAGGCAAGTGCCCTACCACTGCGTGACACCCCTAGCTTCTCTTTATACCATATTCTAAAATAGCAAACAACAAAACATATTGTTTATGAATTCACAAATAGGTAAAAATATAATACCTAGACCCAGACCTGTCTCAATGATAAATCCCAGATTTGGAACAGTACTTTCCTCAGGGGCAGGAAGAGAAGGAATGGAACAAAATGCATTATATAGAAAGCATCAGTTTTATCCACTGTATGTTTATTTTATCTGAATGGTAGATACAAAGGTATTTGTATTTGTTTGTTTGCCTAAAATATTTCATTTAAAAATGCTGTGAAGTGATATGCACAATGGACACCAATTCCCATGTTATTCACAACACTGTGAGAGATACAGCAACACCTCTAGTGCAGAGATGAAAAGTGAGGCCCAGGAAGCTATTTCTCTTGGCCTTCAAATGAAGGATCAGTGAGGACAGTGTATGTGGATGCTATGCAAACGTAAGGGGATAGTATTATAATATAAGGAACCACGTTTGAAATGCAGTAAGGACTAAGCGCAGAATCAGGTTGAACGCCATGGCAGCAAAACAAGGACACTTTTTTATGGGGAAATGGGCATCAAAGTACAGTCATGAGTTGCTTAGTGACAGGAATAGGTCCTGAGAAATGTATCATTTCATCATTGTCTGCAAAACAGAGTGTACGTACACAACCAAAGGTGGCTGTGATGTCACTAGGCGATATCTCATGGGACTGCTGTCACATATGTGATCCATCATTGACTGAAATGTAGGCATATGGCACATCCAATCAAATATCTGTCCTATATATGGCATTTTTGAAATCCTTCAGACTCTGCACTTGGAGCCATGTGGTGCCCTTTCTCACTTGTTTTACCTGTGCCTTACTCTTGCTTCCTTCTGCTTTACTTTTGGTCCCCTCACTGCCATATGTCCAGGCTGGTCTAGAGGACTCTTTTATTCACTTATTTTATTATGCATCTCCATTCTAAATGTTATCTTCTTCTCTTTTTTGTTTTGTTTTTGTGATGGGGTCTATGTTGCCCAGCCTGGCTCAAGTGATCCTCCTACCTCAGCTTAAGTAGCTGGGAATATAGGTGTATGCCACTGCACTCAGCTTAAATGTTATCTTAATTTCTCACCACCCATTCTGCTTTTCTTGGCCATTTTTGGACATTACCAGAGTTGCAACCTCTTAAGCACTTTTACTACAATTCTTCCTCAATCTTATTCCACAGTGAGTGGGTGGAGCTCCTCACAAGCCTTCTTGTGCTTCTTCATTTTCCACTTGGTCATAGCTTCTAGCTGTGTTGTATCTGAGCCCTGCTGCTAACTTACTGATTCAGGCAGATCTCATTGACTGGAGCCTGTGTTGACTTTTTATTCTTCCATCCTCACAGGTCAGTGTATATTATATTCAGTGACTTTGAGAGTGTGCAAGGACTGCCTGCCTTTCGGTATAAGGTGCCTGCAGAAATATTAGCCAATACCTCCGACAATGCTGGCTTCTGTCTACCTGAAGGAAATTGTCTGGGTTCAGGAGTGTTGAATGTCAGCATCTGTAAGAATGGTAAGAACTCTGAGAGGGGTCATGACTACAGATGTCTAGAATGCAGGCAGTCTGGGGTGCAACAGAGAACATAGTGCCAGCCCAGTATGTACAACAAATCTTTCCTTTCAAGAATAATGCATTTGTGCACACCCGCTATCAGGAAGCTAAGGCAGGGGAATCCAGAAATCAAGATCAGCATGGGCTACACAACAAGACCGTCTCAGAAAAATGTAGTTAATACATGTAAGCATTAACTGATTTCATGTTCCAAACAACACTACGAGAAATTGGACAACTCAGTTTTAAGAAAATACATATCTTGGCAAAGATTCTCAATGATTTTTGAAACAGTTAGTTTTAAACCCTGACCACAAACTTCCCAGTGTATCTAGTGCCTGAGCCTCTGCTTCTTTTCATGAATGAGGCAGAATTTTCAGTGTTACAGCTGACAAAAGTGTCTTCATCCTCTTGAAGATGAGTTTTAACAATTAATTATGCACTGCAGAATTATTTACAATGGCATAGCTAGATAGACATTCAGCATCCTCTTTTTATAGAACTCTGGAAAACGAACTGAAAGAGGGGACATGTTTCTTATAAAATTCTTATTTCTGAGTAAATCCTTATTAGAACTTAGGGTCTTCTCATACTCAAATTGGTTCCCTTTTAGGCTGTAATTCCTCTTTAAAGTTCCTCTGGAAAAATTTTCCTTTTTGTGATCCTTTCCCCTGAAAACAGGTCCCATTTTCTGAACCTGAATAAAGTAATATGCTAACTTTTGCTCCCTTGTCTAATTGGCTTTACAATCTCCTTTCAGGATAAGTCTGAAGTCACTGTATACCTATTATCCTTGTCTGACAAGGCAGAGGCTCCCAAACCTGGCCTTACATAGCTGAAGAGCTATTAAAAACATACGTCCTTGGACTCCAGATCTATATTCTTAACGAGCTCTCCAGACAATTCATGAAGATGGTATCTAGATATTGGGTGACCACTGTGCAAGAGAACAGTTCCCCTTACCTGAAGGTAGAGACTAACAGGAATGGGGACCCATTCTTGGTTCTGATCTCTCCCATTCCTTTGCTGGGTAAACAATCCTGAAGTAGTGTCCCTGCCCCTTCAATCATGTCAAGGCATAAATGTAGATATATTTTTCTTGCAGTGTTGGTAATATTCTTCTTCCTCTGTTGCCAAAGTCATCAGGAAGATTCTATTTTGCAACACTCAAACTTCTTGCTACAATCCTTTTTCCTCTTTCTTCTTCTGTATCCCCAAATTTGGACTGAAAAGTTAAACCCCAGGCTTACCCTCAATTGTTTTTGCATTCTCTAGGGGAATATTTTAGTGGGATGAACCTTCTGGGTTTATTCAGATCTGGGATTAAGTCCTATTCTGTTTGTTAGCAAATTGGCCACATTGGTTAAGGACAGGTTCCAGACATCAGTTTCCACATCCATAAAATGGGGGTGATCGTATCTTCTTGGAAGGTTGTGTGAGGATGAGAGATAACATATGTAAATCATTCAGAACTATTAAGCCCTCCATAGGTAGTTAAAAAATACATTTTAAAGGTCATGGTAGGTCATAAGGAAGGAAACTGGCTTTGTGAAAAAGCCAGTAAAAAGCAAATGGTGTGCACGTGGGAGATAATGTGTGCCTTGAGCCATGGGCTGGTGGATGTATAAGCAAATTTGAATCACCTGCCAGTGAGCTCATTTCTCCAAAAATAATATCCCTGCCAGTAGTGATTGGGTCTGTTTGAAATTTTATATCTAGATCTAGAATACATTTCCTTTAATAATTTGTTTCTTGATTTGGTTCTTAAAATGAATAGGACAGAAGAAAACAAACGAACCCAGAATATTTATGCGGGCAGACCTTGATCTGGGAAGCGGCTGGTCATATAAAACAAACAGACACGCTCTTAAAAAATGCTTGCATCAACATATTCAGGAGAATAAGGTCTATTATGGTAAAACAATTAAAAAAAATAGAAACAAACAAAAAATTCTATTCATGGGTAGAAAATTATAATTCAAGTAGTACTTTAAAGTGGGCATTCTCATTCCATTAGCATTCTTCCTCCATAACCCAACAGTCACATATGTCCCTGGGAAAATTTTGTAACTTCTGTGAACCACAGCTTCCCTCCACCCCTCTTGGTGGTACTGGGGTTTGAACTCAGGACTTTGTGCTTGCAAGGCAGGCGCTCTACTGCTTGAGCCACTTTTTGCTCTGGCCATTTGAAGACAGGATCTTGCTTTTTGCCAGATCAGCCTGGACTGCAATTCTCCTATTTTACGCTTCCTGCATGGCTGGGATGACAGGCATGTACCACCACAGCCAACTTTTTTCCTTTGAGATGGGACCTCACAAACTTTTTTGCCCAGGCTGGTTAGAACCGTGATCCTCCTGATTTCAGCCTCCCACGTTCTAGTTTCAAAGGGCTACTGGGTGTATTACTTAGTGCATATAAAGCACTTTATAGATTCAATTGAAGAATAAATTTAGCCAGGTCTTCAGTATATAATGTGCAATAAGATAATGTGGGGTACATGAAATGGCAGAAAATGAAGTGTAAATCTTGAACTAGGAGGTATGGAAAGGAAGTTTAGCTTGCCTACGTCCCCAAGTTTACTTAATATATGGTTTGCATTTGTGTGTTTTTGCTTTAGGAACCAAGTTTGTGGTCAGAATTTATAGACAGATTTTAAAAACAACAGCATTCATTCCTGTTTCTCTCAACACACAGGTGCACCCATTATCATGTCCTTCCCACACTTTTACCAAGCAGATGAGAAGTTCATTTCTGCCATAGATGGCATGCATCCAAATAAGGAAGATCATGAGACATTTGTGGACATTAATCCTGTGAGTACATACTTCTTCCTTGTAAGAGCAGAGGTTTTGTTTTGTTTCTATGTAATGTTCATTACAGCATTCTTAAGAAACATACTGTCTTCTTTACATAGATGTATTCAAGTGAGGGAAGAGTAGCTCAATGCATGAGGCATGATCTCATAGCCTTGTAATTAGAAGGCTGAATTCTGTGCATCTAAAATGCAAAAAGATGAGCAAATTCTGCTTTAAAAAAAGAAAGTGAGCCTGGGGGTGCAGGTCAGTGGTGGAGCACTTGGTTGGCATGCATCCATCCTCAGCACCACACACACAATAAAAACAGAAGTGAAATTGCAGTCATTAAAAGCACCTGAGACTGGACCCATGTAACCTGGTCACAATTCTGTTGCCAACCTTGAACCTGAACATACATTTTTCCCACTGGGGCACAGATCACTAAGGTTGAAAAGATCTCCCTCTCCTTACTGCCAGGAGCTTCTCTCACTGAAGCTAAATTAAAGGTCAGATACCTTCCTTCTTGGGACTTTGAACACCAAGGGCCAATAAAGAAAAGCAAGAAATTCTTTTAGCACCTCATTTTATGGGCCTTTCACTCTTAGTTATGTTTATCACATCTATGTCTGAGAAACCAATGAATGAGAGTAGGTGTGACTTTCTTCCTCTCTTATCCATCAGTCAGTCAGTTCCCTTTTGTCAGCCAAACTAAGAACAAGGGATGTGGCAAGGAATGGCCACAGTTCCATAATTTAGTGCAAAGATGGGGAAGGCAATGGCTGCAGCTGCTTCTCTTGGGGATCCTAGACTTGGATGCCATTCTCTGGCAGGGACCACCACCCTCTTCTTAGCTCTGGACAACTGCTTGAATGTTCAAATCTGACCAAAGATCTGCGGGCTGTTTGGCTGTGCTATGTAAAGTGTTAGTAACCCGAGAGCCTGTTAGAAATGCCTAGGCTCAGGCCTTACCCCAGACCTTCTGAATCAGAATCTGCATTTTAACAGAATTTCCAAGGACTCACATCCATATTTAAGCATTGGTCCACCTAATACAATCAGTACTCATTCTGTTCTGGGGATGTTTTCCCTTGTACCACTTACCAAACATGTTCTGTATTATCAGAACACAGAAATGATGCTCTACCAGGCAAGTGTTGAGGGGCAGGGGGAGAGAGAGAGAGAGAGAAAAGATGCTGTATTGAAAAATTTATGTTTGTGGTTTAACAAATACTAATGTTTTCTTCTCCTTTCTGATTTGCAGTTGACTGGAATTATCCTAAGAGCAGCCAAGAGGTTCCAAATCAACATTTATGTCAAAAAATTGGATGACTTTATGTAAGTTGAGCTTGTTCCTCTTGAGGCAGACACTAATTTTGCTACATTCTGGTGGGGTTAATGTGTGTGGGGGTGGGGTGGGGGGGAGAGGGGGTTAGAGTACAGCCCACCTCTTCCAGCTGCTCACCCTGCCCTTCAGGGATAGGCACTTTCAAGGGTGCCTTGCTCTTGACATTTACTTGTTTCATTTAATCAAACACTTTTGAGAATGCTTCCCACTGATGAGGCCTTGTTCTAAGCACTTCACATACATTAACTTACAACTTTGCATTGTCCTCATTTTACTGATGAGGAAACCAAGGCAAGTTAGTTTAACTAACTTGCTGGAACAGCTGTTAAGGCTGTGTGGATATGGAGTTTGTTTTTATCCACTTCCCTGAGCATTTCCCTCACCCACTTTGACTCCAGTTTACTATTCTTCCTCTCTTTCTACTTCCTCTACTTCTATATGGAGCCAGCCACAAGCTCTCATTTGGACAGTTAAAATAGTATCTTGCATTCAGCCTTTCCCTCCCATATTCCATCTACAAATCACTCCTTAATTATAACTTCCTGTCCAAAAAACTGATCAGTGAGAATTTTTTGAATGTGAGAAAATGCTTATAATATTGAATGACAAAGCAGAATGCAAAACTACATATACCATCTTCTCTCATCTATATATCATCTATCTATCTATAAATCTTAATTTGTTTCCTCAGTTGAATTAATCAGATTTAATCCCGTTCTCTTTTTCTTTTTTGAGACAAGTCTTGCTATGTATCCCAGGCTGGCCTTGAGTTCATGATTCTTCTGCCTCAGCTTCCTGAGTGTTGGGATTGTAGGCTTCTGTATCATAACCACATTTTGTCACAGGTTCTTTCTAAGAAGCAGTCATGATATGCAGAATGCATTTGTCACTTATGTATATCTGAGGCAGTTTAATTTCGTAGTTCAGAGGTGGAAACTTAGAATCAAAATGGAAACAGAATCCTGGCTCCGCCACTTGCTCTTGATGATCCTAGATAAATTCTGTAGTTTCTATGAGCCATAATTTCCTCATCTATAAACCTGGGGCAGTGATGATACCTCTTGCGTGTGGCTGCTATAAAAACTGAATTAAATAATGTCCCCAAAACACTTAGTACAGAAATAGCACAACAGTCCATTGGCTTGTGTTGCATAGTACTTAGGTGGCTTTGTTACACAACGTTCGAAGGATTGGCAGCATTGGTCTGCCGGGGCTGTCTTCTCTGTGGTGATTCTAGGGAGCACAGTGATCATTTGATGGGTTTGCTTGAGTAGCTTGTGCCTTGATAAAACACCACAAGAACATGCAGCCCTTGCAATTGCTAGCTGACACACTGATTTATATGTGTTTGCAAACATAACTAAGAGTCTGCAGGGAATTCCAGGTAACTGAATGAAAATGAGTACTGGAATTTTCATGTGAACATGTTTCTTCAGGTGAGTGCACCATCATAATGAGCATGTCTCTAAAATACCATCATTCTTTGTCTTTGTAGTGAAACTGGAAACATTAGAACCATGGTTTTCCCAGTGATGTATCTCAATGAGGTAAGTGCTGAGAGGCAGGAGCCACATCTATGTTTGAACTGGCCAAGTGTGGAAAACTTCCATTATGATGGCTACTATTCTAGCTATTTGTAATTTAAGATATGACTTCTTAAACACTGGCTGTCCTCAGAAAATTCCTCTTAAATGCACATGTGAACCTGCCTGTGTCTAGAGGCTGATTTGGAGAAATGACAGAAAGTTTTCTTCTCTAGAACATTAGCTTGGGTAAAACTCCCTTCTAGGGAGCTGATAATGTGAGAAACAAAATGAAAAAGTGAAACAAAGCACTACCAGGCTCTTAGAGGCAGGATAAATAGCCAACACTCAAAGAGATGGCCAGTTAAACCTTTCTGTCTTCTTCTTTGAAACCCTGCCAACTTAAGGCCCCTGTGATAAATTCTTTTCTAAATCACATATCAGATTTACTGTAGTTATAACTCTTCAGTTTCCCCCTTCTACCCAGTTTTGATGGAAAAATGCAAATTTTTCTCCTTCAATAAATTCTCAATTGGCAGACTTCTGTTATTAACAGTATTTTAAAAAATTTACAAAAAAGAAAAAAGTTCTTCATATTATTACATAAGAATAATATATAACATTACCATTAATATTACTATTATTACTGGTGGTGGTACTGGGGATTGAACTCAGGGCCTCATGTTTACTGGGCAAGTGCTCTGCCACTGAGCCACACCCATTCTTTTGGCCCTCAGTTTGTTTTTTCAGATAGGTCTCAAGCTTTTGCAGGGCCTGCCTTGGACCATGTTCCTTCTACCTATGGCCTCCCAAGTAGCTGGAATTAAAGTTGTGTACCACCACACCTGGCCCTAGTTCTTATTTTTCTCTGTTCCCTAAAAATACTTGCTCTTTGTAGAAAATTTAATAACAGCAAGAAAAGGAAACATTAAAATTACTATTTGGAAAATCTAAAGTCAGCTAATGTTTTAAAATTTTTTTTAATGTTTTTAAAATTTTTTAATTGTTTCTAATTTTAAAAAAAGGTGACAGGTAAAATTTTTTCCAATGACAAGTTTAAAAACTGTTCATGTTTCACATTTTGTAAAATCTGTGCCCTTTATAGAACTTTTGGGAAATGAAAAAAGAAAAATATTTTAAAAGTAACTTGCCAATAAACTTGTTGCTCAGAGACAATACAGTTGACATCTATCTTCATTTATTACTTCCTGATATTTTTCTAGTTTCAATATTAGTAGAAATCGTAGTATAGATGAGATTTTATATCCTTATTTTCTTCATTTAGTGTTATCCTGCTGGCCATTTTTATAAACTTTTAAAGGGTTTGTGATTGCAATTCTATAATGAATCTTTTGTTTCATAGGGAAAATTCAGGCAGAATGCACCAATTTATAGGTCCAAACTGGGACTGTTTGTGGGAAGGGGCAAGAAAACCAGAGGTTGTGAAAATGCAGATAGGCCCTCTTCTGTCAGCTTGAGATCACAGCAGTTAATAGTAATGGCCTTTTTTTTTTTTTTTAAGCCCAGCTGGCCTCTAATTCACCATCCTCCTGCCTCATCCTCTTCAGCTCGATGATTATTCTCATATGCCAGCACTGCTGGCAGTAGTGGCACTTTTGAAGTCCTTGTCACCCCAGGTTTTGTTTTTTTGTTAATGAGTACATTGAATCCAGGAACATGGAATGAAAGCTTGTGCTTTTGTTGCTGCCTAGAAACAGCTTGATTTTTCTCTTCTCTAGAAAAATGAAGTGTTAGACTTGGAAGTGACCTTGGAAATTGCTGCTCTAACACCTTTTTACGAAGGGAGAAAAAAGACCTGAGCAGTCTTGGCTAGGTGTTGACTACCATAGAACTCAATCCCCTAACTTGCTTTAATGCAAATTAAGCCAGAATTGTTGCTCATAACTTTTTTTTGTCTTTTCATTTTTGGCACTGGGGATTGAACCCAGGACTCGTGCATGCTAGGCAAGTGCTGTACTACTGAGCCACATCCCAGACTGTTGCTCATAATTTTTGTAGAATTAAGCTCTTCACATAACTTACCCATAACACTAGGTGATAACACCTCTGCTGCATACTGAACAGTGTTATTCTACCGTACTTCCTGGGTTGGCAGCCCTACAACTTAACCAAATACTTTCTGTCAAGACGTCTGGTCCTGATGACTGCAGATGAAGTCAAGAGAGAAGTGATACTGCCCACATGCCATTATTGGAGTGTTTCATTCATTCATGTAGTCAGCCAGTATTAATTGACCACCTACTGGGTGCTATATCCAATGTGGAGGTGACTGAGATGTCTTGCCTTCAAGGCTTTCCACAGCCACTGGGAAACAAACAGGTAAACATACAGGACAACAATGGAGGATCTAGAGAGTATGGTGAAAACTTAAGAGAATGGGTCATTCATCAAACTTGACGTGACCAGAGATAACTTCTGAAAGGAAGTAATGCTGATCTGGAATTGTCTGATACAAAAGATAGTATCTCAGCATTTCTGAGTACTTTTCCCCTCTTTTCCAACCTATGTTAAGGGGAATAAATGCCTTCAGGAGAAAAGATATTAGGAAATAAATTTCCTCTCTGGTTACTCTAATTCATAAATGGATTTCAGTATATCTGGCTTCCTAACAAGAAAACCAAACTGTGTTTGACGACTTGAAAGAAAGATAGCCAAAAAACCAAATTATATCCCAGATATTTAGTCATCAGAGGAATATTATTTTCTTGCTCCTTTAGAGTGCTCTCATTGATAAGGAGACCGCAAGTCGACTAAAGTCTGTGATTAACATCACTTTGATTGTCACCAACATACCCTACATCATCATGGCATTGGGTGTGTTTTTTGGTTTGATCTTCACATGGCAAGCTTGCCGAGGACAGGGATCCATGGATGAGGTGAGTAATGGCTGAAGAACTTCTCTCTTACTGGGCAACTTTACTTGATGAATTCCTCAACTGTGCTTTACTGAAGGGCTGTAGGCTGGATTATTAGATTAGAAGCTGGGTGTTATGGGGTGGTGCATCAAAAGCAGGGTGATAGAATAGTGCATTCTAGTATTTGGAGCTCTCTTGATGGGAGCTCTCTTGGTGGGAATAGAACCCCTTGATATAGCCTGTGGGAGGTAATCTTTGAAAAACAATAACCTGAAAAGAGAAGAATACGTACCATTTAAGCATCTGGGCTTTGGTTTCATACTGCCTGGGTTCAAATTCAGTTCTGCCAATAAACAGCTATATGACCCTAGCATCTGTGCCTCAATTTCTTCATTTGTAAAATGGAATGATAATAGGGCCCACCTTTATTAATTTTTGGTAAGGATTAAATGATGTAAACATATTGTCAATAAGAGCTCACTAAGTTATTATTAACTATGATAAAAATAGCTCCAATATTATAGAACAAGGCAGCCAGAGACCTGTTTGGAAAGAATCCCTGATGTATCAGATGATACTATGATTGAGGCACCTTTGTATAATAAAAGATTGGCACACTGGAGTACTTTCCTAGAGGAATGGGAAAACAGATAAGTTGGGCTAAGTGACCAAGAGTCTAAACCTAACATGAGCCTTTTCTGTAGAAGCCCTTCTTAAATGCTTAGCAACTTCCCTTTTCAGAGTGGACTTTTTTCTCTTTGTACCCTAAACTTAGAGTCTAAACAAACATAAAGTGGAAATGGCATAGGATGAAACCACATGAGTAAAATTAGCCTGTATCACCCTGCCTTCCATATTCTTCCATCATGTCTCTAATCCATGCTAGTCATTTTGGCCTGAATTAGCCATGAGGCAAACTCTTTTATCAATTCTATCATGGGTCTTCCAGTCTGTATTTTTGCTGTCACTGAAATTTTCTTAAGTACAAATGAAACCTAGTGGAAATATTAGTTACCGCTCCCATTGACATAGGGGTTAGGCAGGGACTTAGGAAATCTAATGGCTCAGAACATGGCTTGGATGTCGACCAGAAAATCACATCCTGGCCAACTGATGTTAACAGAATGACTTGTGACACATGGCACCCCCACAGCCCAAGGAAGATAACAATCATGATTTTAACCATCCAAGGCCAACACCCTCCCCCTCAAACTGTGGAAGGAGTTAATGATGCATAACACTGTCCCCAGGAGTTAATGACACATAACCCAATCTTCCAGGAATGACCACCTCCTGTATACACACAGACCCTAATAAAAGCTTAAGGTCTCAGCACCCTCAGCATAACCTTCCTTCCTGAGCCTGCTCCATCCCTCCTTGAGAATGTATTTTCATTTTGCTTTACATTAATAAACCTGAACTGCCTGTCAATCTTTCCTCCTCCACCTCCTCCCACTCCCCCACCCCAACTTTTCCCATCTGGGGAGATGTTTCTGACATGATCTCTGGCTTCTCTCTGTGTCTCAGGGAACGGCAGATGAAAGAGCACCCCTCATACGAACCTAACTGAACTTAACATCACCTGAGCTTGGTGAAGTATCGTGAGCTGTCCTGACCTGAACCACGATAGGGAAAACCCCATATTCACACAGGCTTCTGACCTGTTAGGAAGAGGGAGAAGACGCAGTGCTGGCAAGTGATGAGATCATTCTGGCCAGAGGATAAAGAGTAGGCTGACATGGCTAGCCAGTATGCTTTATAAAGTCATGTGGTCTCTGAAATTATTTTCATGTGTCTACCAAGTATTTAATAAACTCTTGTATAATAACTTTGTTGTTGGGGTCTGGTAGCTATGGAATTTTGTGACTGCTGTTGTAGGTATAATGTCTCTGGATCACTTGTTAATGCTACTTGGTTTAACCTTTCCAGTATGCCTCATTCACCCAACTTTGTCCTCAGAATTCCTATGTACTGCTTTATGTTGTATTCCTTCATTTCACTCCCCCAAAGGGAAGTAAATAAGCGTTTGGAACCCAGGGAAAGTGGTAGCCTCATCTAATATATCATTCAAATGTACAGGATTTTCTCTTTCAAAGCATTATGTAGTGTATTTCATGTTAATCTTCAGTCCATAATTCCTCTAGGAAACTTATTTTGTTCTTCTAACTACTTTTATAGTGGGTAAGAATCAAATGGGGGAAGGAATTGGGTGGGATGGTACCTGTGAGTGGATAATGATTAGCTCCTAAAGACTTTTAAGTTGTACTTTTGTGAACCAAGAGAATGCATGAATAATGTTGGTAAGTATAAGTAAAAATATTTCATGTAGAGTAGAACTAAATGTTATGACATTTGCAGACCATTAACTGTTATTTTTTAGTCAAAATTATCTTGATGTGGAAACATGGTTCTTGGAGAATATACCCAGTGACTGATGTTTTTCCCCTGCCAAAATATACTGTATTAATTATGATATGATTTGTGATTATTTATAAAAATATGAACATAGGAAATCTACCCATCTACCCATAGCCTAAATTACATGTAGTTTTAGGAAGCCTGTCTAGATTAGAGAGACATTTCTTCTGAGCAGTCTTCTTGGTAACTTTGAGACAGTTTTTTTAAGTTCTTTCCTCAGATACAGTTCCTTCCAGTGTTATGTGGCTCACTGTCACTTATCAAGTAGAGAAAAATGTGCCCTAAGCTTACTGTGACAATCATTTTACTGACAGGGTAATGAGTGATTAAAGTACTGCACAGAAAGTGGTTTAAAAAAAGTCCACTGGGACCAGAAGCAGAGCTACTGCTCTTCAAAAGGCTTCTTAGCTTTCAGTACTGTATAACCAAAGATTGGAAACCACTGTTAAGTCACAGTGTTCAGACTTCAAGCATATTTAAGGGCATTTTCTTTGATTCTCAAAGTTAACTACTCATTTTAAATGGAGAAGCCTATACTGTATCTGGCAAAGTACTTACAGAATTTCCTAACAACTGAATCATATGGGTCTTTGGTTTTTGTTATTTAAAACTGGACTACAGTATAAGCCAATGAAGGAAAAAAAATCAGGGATTTCACTTACATAGTTTCTTATGCATGTTTGGAGATAATAAATTGCTTTAATTTACAAGCCCCAATTTTTCCTTTCTCTACACTAAAGTAGCATGTGATATTTTCCCCTTTTTGAAGGAACGATTCATTAAACTCTCAACTTTCCTGTAAGTTAAGACAGAAACATTAAATACCCCAAATCAGCAAAATGCAAAAAACTAAATTAAAAAATATCTAGTCTTTAATAATGCCAAATATCTAGATGTTTAGAATTTGTCAATATTTAACTAGATAACTGGCATATCTTATTTTTTATGCATCTACTTATCCACGTTAATGTACTGATAAGCTAATGCACAGTCATTGGTTTAGTCCTGTTTTCACTATATAATCAACTGTGAGGAAATTTTTAGATACAGTAAATGATACCAGTTAGTGAAGTGTACATTTAGACTGAATCACATAGGTGGCCAAAAATATATTAATTCCATATTTGCATCATGATTCTTAAAAGTGATGGTTTAAAATCAAATTTGATATTTTACTTCTGAAAAGTCTAAATTGTAGTAAAAATTATAGGCTCATTAAGAAGAATAAATATACCACCATTTGGTTTTAGGTGGAAAATGACAAACTAGTCCTTGTGCTCATTCTCTTGCTGCCATTACCCTGGAAAGGTTCCCAAAGGCTTTGTGAAAGCCTGTCAGCATTGTAACCATCACAAAATGGCAGGCAGGGTAAATTGAGAGATGAGCACAGAACAGGAAATAGGCCTTGCCACTTTTAGCTATAGACTTTTCCCACTAGACTTTATTTCTTCATGATCTAGAAAGATCAATAATGGTCAAGTAGAACAAGCACTACACAACTAACCCCTATTGGGGTTTTATATTTAAGGTATGCTAATTTTTAACTTAAGTTGTTTAAGATATGAATTCTGCAAAGGTGATCCTAATACTTGCCCCTCTGGGCATTATGGCTGGAGAAAATTGCTTGTGCCTATCTTTAAGAATACTAACCACAATTCTCTTCATGGAGCTTACACAGTTGGCTCACATCATGTGACTCGACCTGTTTTATTTCTATTCTTAATGTAATGAAATGTTTTACTAATAAAAAAACTTTACACAAAATTACATTGGGAATAGTGTCTTTGGATATCTGTCTAGTTGTCTGTGGAGTTCCATTTGAAAAATGCCCCTGACAGACAGCCCTGAGTCACACCCCTCTGACCACCTTTGATTTCTGTTCAGTTGTGGACAGTTACAGGCAGCCCAGGAGTTCCACTCCAAGAAGGTTCCATACTCTGCTCTTCTGCTCAAGGTTTTCTTCAGAGCCCTGGAAGTCCCAGAGGAGTAACTATTTAAGAGAATTAATAACACTGGGGGAGAGGGAGACAGTTGACCAGTGTCCCAAATGAAAGATTAAAAAAATACAGAAACTATATTCAAAAGACTAATAAAGTATTAAAAACATATCCATGAACAATAATTAAGAAGATATGATATAGGATGAGTGGCATAGAATACAAAACATATATACACATTTAGTACAAGAGAAAAGTCCCAGTTCTAGTAATAACTATCTTCTTTCATATTCAACTATTTAAGTATTTTTAAAACACCTTTATCGAGACATAATTGATATAATATGAAACTCACCAATTTGAATGCCAGGCATGGTGGTGAATGCCTATAATCCTAGCACTTGGGAGGCTAAGGCACGGAGAGTTTGAATTTGGGGTTAGCCTGGGCTACATAATGAAACTCTGTCTCAAAAAAACAAAACAAAAACCAAATAAATAAATAGTACAATAAAAATTCACACATTTTAAATGTACAATTTTAATAAATTTACTGAGTTGTGTAGTTCTAGAACATTTTCATCACCTCAATAAAATCTATCATGCCAGTTTAGCCCCTCACTGTTCTCACCTCAACCATAATGACCACTAATCTACTTTCTATATGTATAGATTTGCCTTTCCAGACATTTCACATAAACACAATCATACGGCATATGGTACCAAGGTCCAGCTTTTCTACATTATACCTAAAAATGTGTTCATCTAACTTTATTGATCACCTACTTTATGTGAAGCACTATAATAAACTAGGCTATAGGTGACCAGAAAGAGACATATGGACTTCATAGTCTTGTGGGGAAAACAGTGTCCAAATAATCATATAGGTAAATGTAAAACTTGGGCTAAGTTGTAAGATGCTCTAGGAACATGACTAGGAAGTGGAGTTTGGTAAAGCATTTCAGATAGAAGGAGTAAGCTACACCACACTAGGTCTCATTAAACCATATTAAAGATTTTGGTATTTTGGCTTTATTTTAAGACCAATGGTAAACTAGTGAAGATTTTCAATTGGGTTGTGGGGGTAAGGTGAGTAAGACAACAAGGTTGTTTAGAAGGACCCATTCTAGCTTCAGGGTGAAGAATGAATTGGAAGAGTTGACCAGGGTGATTATTTAGGAACCTGTTGTGTTAAGTGGGTCCCTTTGGTGTCCCCATTGGCATGCAAGATGGGTCTCCTCTGAGTTGACAGCTGTCATTTGTAACCCTTTTGTGAGAACGCCACAAAGTCACATAGCTTGGGTGAAGGAATGGGCTTTATGTGGGGAAATAAAAATGTACAGGGCCACGTTTGCCAGAAAAAAGGAGGCACAGACACTCCATCCTCCTGCTGTCCCAGTGCCCCAGCACTGTTTGGTCTCAGTAATGAGGGCATGTCCTCTTACTCACTCCTTTTCTTATAGGACAAGCATGAAGAAGTAGCTTTACCAATGGGGACATCTACAAGCTGCTGAGCAACATGTGGTTTGAATTTGGAGTGCCAATGCTTTACAGTTGTCTGGGAATGCCACTGTCACTGTCTCCATGGCTGGGGAGAAGGCAGCAGTCCCATGGAAATCTTAAGTTGGGTATAGCCCTTCTTTAGGAGAAAGGGGGACCCCAGTCACAATGAACTTACTCTCTATGCAGCCCACAATGGGGTGGCCCAGGCCATGCTCAGCCAGTCCTACTCACTGCACCACAGGGGCTGCTCCAGAGGGTAAGGCAGGGTTGGTAAACATAGAAATAAATGATATATTGTGTTCTAATGAAGCCATAGTTTACAAAAACAGGCAGTAGGCTAGACTTGGCCACTCTATCTCAGGTTCCCAGGAGGGCTATGCCTTTTACTTAAAACTGGTACTCAGCTGCAACCTTCTCTCCTTTGATACTCTTCCCCCTGCCAATCCCACTTACTTCCCTGACTGCAGTTACAGTCCATGCTTGAGCCTCTCTGATCAACATCACCCCCACTACCCAAACACCAGCTGGATATCCCCAGTCAGCCTGTCAAGTCAATGAGTAAAGAAAGGAAGTCATGCTCCTTGTCTTCTTCAATTACTGGAGAATGGCATCACAATCTATTCTGTTGTTCAAGCCAGACACCAGACATGTAGTAACCTTTTGTTACTTTTCCTTTCTCATTAACTGAGACATTGTCTCATTTGCTAGTTTTCCATGTATTTATTCCATGTATTTATCACCAATTCAACCCCAAATGTCCTTGCTGGTTGCCTATATTGCTCTTAAGTTGTTCATCCTTATGAAGAAGGCTTTCCCAGAACCTTCTGACCTGGTACAGTCTGGGCTGGTAGCTCTCTAAGGAGGCACAATTGTCATCCTTTCATCTTTCATAGCTGACTCCACCTTGGTGGAGCACATCCTCCGGTAACTGCCTTAGCTATAGAAAGTTTTTTTGCTTTTTTTTTTTTT